TTAAAAGGTATTATTCTGTTATGAAAGAATAGCTCTGAGATATTGATTTTAAATACCATAAAAAAATAACTTTGATCTAGTTTACTTTCCATAGTTGTGAGAGACTGAAATGTTAATGACTAAAACAATTAGCCATTTACAAAAGCAGCAGGATGTTTTGCTGGGACCAGGTTTGCAGCCCCCAACCAAAGGAGAGGAGAGATTTTTGTGTGTTGGAAAAACCTCTGATGTGCCTAAGACAGAGTGGCTGCACACCCACCTCCAGTGGATGACCATGACAAACCAACATTCATTCAGCACAACAAGCTGGGTTTTGAGCCAGATAAGAAAGAAGGCTGATAAGAAGCAAATGCTGCTAGGTGGGATAGTGCTTTGTATCTTGCCAATGCCCTCCCTCACACACCTAGCTCAGGTGAGAAAACTTCCCCTCCTACTCACACATAGGCCTGAAGGTGTTCCTCCCGTCTGATGGGGCATGACTGGCTCAACTACCCCGATGTGAGAGGCAGCTGTCATGTCTTGGAGGGTGCCACAAACCATCACAGACCCCCAGAGTGACCCCAGACTCATGTCTGAGGCCTTCCACCTGAGGACAGCTCATGATCCAGTGCTGCAACAGACAGTGTTAGACTCACCCTTAGGGGAGGTACCTTGGTGCTCCCCCCTGAACTGAACCTATTTTAATCTACTGAACTTTACGTGGTGGGAGCTTCCCCCCACCCCCAGTGAATCAAGACTGTGACCATCATTTTGACCAACACACATCTAAATTGAAACAATCAAGTCTCATTGATGGATCCGCCGGTGGTGATATCTTTCCATTATCTACTCTTATCCTTTCTTTTTATTTTCCTCATTTATTTTCTTAAGTGATATCTTTATACTTTTATTGTTATATTACAATAGATAATAACCAAAATGGCTACAATACCTCCTTTATTTGCAAGCAAAGTTTTCTAAAATAAACCCTACATATAGATATAGATATATAGATATATAGATATATAAACATTGGTCATTCACTGTCATTTTACTCTAATCCACACCAAGGGATCTATTAACAAGAGCCTCGGTTACACTTGCCTTTAGAAGTGGGTTGTAAAAACAGAGTGCAACACTGCCTTGAAAAAAAATACTACTTTAATGACGACTACATCTGATGTGTTTTTAATTCAACAGACCACCAGTTTCAGGCTAGAATTAGAATTATTCTATTACTTGCTCTAAACCTAGTGCAGGAATGAATTTACAGACACTGATATTTTTTTTGCCCAGCTGTCAAGGATGCAAGTTAAACAGCACAAGTAAAACCTGAAATTCTGTAACTACCTTAAAACTAGCAACTACTATGAGCAAAACCTCTCTAAAGTCCTTCAGTGTGGCAGCTGCATATCTTTACATGCAGGAGAGCAAGCTACACAGAATCTAATTACAGATGGGAAACTGGAATAACTTTGTAGGAAAGGAAGCTATGTCAGTCCCCAATGACAGAACAGCAGAAGACAAAATTACTTCAAATACCAATACAATATTCACTTCAGTTGCCAACACAGAGCTCACACACTACAAGGCCACGAGCAACCACCTCATCCCAGGTCTGGATGCAGAGGCAGTTGATTACACCAGATAATTCTGCAGTCACCCTGGGAGGAGGTACCCCAGGCTCAGTCAATTCAGGAGAATCTCCCAATCTTAACTGTCTCCAAACGGTACATACCTCATTCAAGGCTGAGATTCTCCCTTCTTTCTCACTGGACTGCACTGAATTAGCTATCTCTTGCATATGATCATTTTAGTGAAGATTGATTAAAAAAAAAACACATTAATGACAACTGCCTCCTAGCTGTTATTTGTCCAAAATAATCAGATTTTCCCCTCCACAGATGACAATTTCCTTGACTTTTCTCTTAATGCTAGAGCACACAGACAATAATTTCCTGCTACCTGTCCAATCTGTTTCTTTTTTGGGCCTATATTCCTAGTTTCGCTATGCTTCTGAGAATAACCTGAACTTTTCCCTTCTGTGTCCTTCTTTCACCTGATGTAAATGAAGAACAATTTTAAAAAGCTGGTATCTTACTATATTTCTTATTTTTCATGCAGAATGCAAAATTATGTATGTCCTTACTACTCATGTGTTCAAGGAATATCTGTCTCCCTTTGTCTCTCTTATCTCTTAGACCAATTTCCTGAAAAACTGTTTCTTCAACATATTTGAATTTATTGGTCTACTTCCCTAAAATCCACCTCTGTTTCTTACTCTCCCAGTAATTGACCCAATGATCTTTTCAAAACTTTCTAAACCAACTAGAATCACACTACCGTTAAACAGCCATTAGAAAATTGTTCCAGTGGAGGTTTTGACTTTGAAAGAACCCAGTGTGGCATTTTTGACAATGGATATTTTGGTTCTATATTAAATTTTTAGTTTTGAATGAATGATCCTGTAGACAGACTACTTGGGCTATGAGAATATCAACTGATTATAGTGTCTGCTTAAAGTAGCATTGAGAGGATTATGCGCTACATTTTCTAAGGACTATAATTGATCCTCAGAACAAATTGCAGCATCTCTGAAGTAAGTCACACACATTAGGCCCAAGGAATAAACAGTGTGATAAAAAGCACATAACACATTTCAGATCACATTAGCACAGAAAAAGTCATTAATCAATCACAATTCATATGAGATACTGGTATCCCTACGTAAGAGGCAGACAGAAGTCTGGTGATATTGAATCATGACATAACACTGGAAATCCCCTTTCAGTTGCACCAATAAGCCTACTAATCAATCACTAATAGTTCCTAGTTCTTAATTATTTAAACTATAATAAGATCCAAGCTATTTGATTTTATCAAGTAGCCTCTAACCATGCAAGTTATATCTTCCTTTTTCTTTTAAAGATATGTCTTCTGGTATCTCTTTTCTGAGACTTTGTGTAATGTTTTTTGCTTTTATGTAAATTGTAATAAATAGTTAAACACCACTCATTGTCAAACCTCTTAGTTTACAGACAGCCACCTCAGGTACCCTAGTATTACATATCTTTGCTCCACTTGGGCCCTTACACCTTAATTTAGGTTCACAGACAGCTTCACTTGAATTTTATAACTTATTCTGGGTTCTGTGCAGCCACAGCCAAACTCATCAGCTACTTTAAGTGATCAAATCCCCTTTGTGCCTACTGAACCTGCAACCATACAGACTTTCAAAGAATTTATGAGTCCATATATTTGGTTAGTCTATATATTACATACACATATTAGTCCATATATTATATAGAAGGTGCAAACCAGCACCTTCTATCCAACTTCAAGAAAAATCCAGCGATTAACTTTTCCCCACTGTGGCCCACACTCCAGCAGTGCTGCATCTCTATCTGACATCCATGTCACATGCCATGACATCATCACTCCTCAGATTTTCCAGCTGGCCAGGGGTCCCACAATTGCTGATTCCAAGAAGCCAAATGCAGACAGTGACTTAGTCACAAAGATTACTTATACTCCTTAGACTTACCCAATACTCAGCGGCGCATTCCTTCTATTTTTATAGAGCTCAGATTTTCTGCATGAGCCATTGATCTTGTTAGCCTTTTTGTTTGTTTCAAGACCATCCAAGCTCATGAATGCAAGAATCCGTTTTGAAACCCAAGGAGGCAAACACAGATGGTTTTAACCATGTCAATGTCAAGTCACATTCAAATGGATTTCCTTCTCCTTGCACAAAAGCAGCTATTTTTAAAAACTGTAAAACTGCACACATCTGGGAGTGCTTACAGTACTAGTAATCCCTATATAGTATATGTTGTCATCGCTAGTAGGAATTCCCTCTTCCTTGACCACAGGCCAAAACAACACAACTTCTTTTTGAAGCAGCTCCAGTTTACGTGGGCTTAATTTCAGATATTTGGCCATACACTTACCACAGATTATTAGTAATGTTTCAGTTCTGAAAGTTTCTACTATGCAACACAGTCATCACAGTATGCTGTAAATACAGAGATAAGTATGAATACAGACAATGTATTCTTTATTACCCTACCTGTTTCAGCCCATGCTGAAGAAACAAACTACAATCAGGGACAGTGAACATCCACATTTCTTGATAGATTTTTCAATAACTGCCATCAACTCTCTTCTCTGATGGCATAACTTCGCCAGAGGACTACTAAGTGGTCCAGTATTCATCAGAAAATAACTTATGCCAACCCCATTCATTACATCTATGTTGGCTTTTTTAGCCATTTTAGAAAATATTAGCAATGTTCTAGAACAAGAGTTTCTTGTTCTCTTTCATGTTTTTTTCCTAGTCCCCATTCTAACACATGCATGGCATCATTCTATTCAGCAACCCTCCCCTTTGTTAAGTATTTGCTAGTTTTGAGGGTTATTTAGCAAAACTGTCAGGGAGCTGTTTCTATTTCAAGGGATTCTGCTAATTTCATCCCATTAAGAAAGGTTCAAGACAAGACTAAACAAATCCCCCCTCTTCACTCATGAGTGAATGAGCTCCTACTCATTATGTCTAGCTGCCATTATGGTTTCTATCCCTGAAGCCAGGAAACATTCAGTGAAAGAAACAACTTTTAAAGCATACTTCACTCTTGCAATTTGCCTCACCTAGCCTGCACCTGCATGAGGAACCCACATGGATGAAACTTCAGGATGTTTTCCCTGACACTTATAAAGAAAATATTTATCATGCAGGAGTCCAAACTATTATTTCAGCCCTTGTATTTTTTGCTTTCCAGCTTTCCTATCAAATTTTACAGGTAAAATAGGCAGGCTCAGTTAGCTTAGTCTAGGTTAAATGCATGTTATCAACCACCACCCAACTGATTTCAATGAGTCAGAAGAATTCACACTGTGTCAGGAAGCAGCAAGGGCCGGCTGCTCCCTGAGGTAGTGCAATCCCCAAAGTGAGAATGACCCAGTGCCGGCAGTGCCTTGCAGCGTCCCACATCTGAACCCAGGACACAGATCACACTACTTACTGGGAACAGGGCCTTCTGGTAGTCCCAGAGATGGCAAAATTATGAACCAGGTCCAGAGACTATCCAGGCTCTGAAGTCTGTACAAGAGAAAGAAGTGGAAATGAGGATACAACACAGGTCCAAAGTCAACACAGACAACAAAGACAAGACAGAAGACAGGCAATAAAGAACAGCTAAAGGCATCCATTTGAGAGATAGGCTACCTACAACACAGGCCTGAGGTCTCTCCAGGAATTAGGGTCACACCAGTAGTCCCAAACTGGAGCTCAAGTGAGGCTTCTGGGTCCATGGACACAGCTGTGGATTGAGGCCCTATGGAGGCTGGCTAGAGCTGTTAAAGCCTATTGAAGCTCTCAGAGCCCTGATATTTTGCAGTTTCTCTTTATTTCCTTCATATCTACTCCTTCAATTTAATTTTTACCACATCTACTACCAGGTTTCCTTGTCCAGAGTCACCATGCCAGTGCACTTTACAGCCAGACCTGTGTTATTGCTCTCTAGTTGTCTAAACCAGAACTAAAATTGTAGGTTCACTCTTGCAATTTTATTTGCTGCTTCTATTTTATATCCTTCTATTTCTCTAACAACTGAACGACTTTTCATATCTGACACTTGTGAATGTCATACCAAATTTACAGGTATGTTTTTTGTGTCCAGGTCATTGGGGATTTTTTTTGTTGTTTTGCACAAAAAGACCAAATAACTGAGTTTGGGGGATTTTTTCCTCCTTCATTTGCATAGTGGTGTGATCCGATTGCTCTCTGAGCTTGAACTGAAGCTCCCTTCTGGCTCATGGCTGTACATTTGCCATTTGCTACCGTGATTGCTCCAGCTTGGCCCTGCAGGAACAGAGATCATCAGTTTCAGCCTTGGAAACTGGATCCTGTTTCAAGCACCTGCACAGGATCTGCTCACTCAGAAGCTGACATTTCTGAAATTTATCTATCTGTAAGTTGGCTCTATTACAAGTCACAGATGATGGGATCACCCTTTCTTTAATTAGGAACATGTAAGGTAAAATGGCATGAATTACTATCCTTTATCCCAGGCTCAAGTCTTTTACAGGCCTTTGCTGAAAATGTTTATGTGAAACTAGCCCTCCCATTTAGACTTATGGCAATTTCCCAGTTTTTTCTTTCACGTCTCCTTCTTTGCCTCACAGTCAATTTAGCAAACCAGGCATCTTGAAACTTCTTGTGCCTTTGACTTGCACACAAGTTTCAGGTTTAGGTGTACCACTGCATAAGAATTTAAGCCATTTATATGTCTCCTACATTCATGTTTGGAAACAAAAATGTTAGTAAAGCTCCACCTGACTCACTATAGTAATTTAGTAGCAAATAAATTATGCTATTAGTAGCACAGAATTTATGTCACACAGTTGTGAACCTATTCATAAGGCCTAGACTAACATTTTAGTATTTCCACAATTCATGTTCACTGCATGAGGAAACAGAATCATAGAATGGTTTTATTGCAAGAGATATTAAAGATCATCTAGTTCCAACTTGACCACCATGGGTAGTGTCACCTTTCACTAGACCAGGTTGCTCAGAGCCTCACCCAATCTGGCCTTCAACACTTCCAGGGATGGGGAATCCACAGGTTCTCTGGACAACTTGTTCCAATGTCTCACCATCTTCACAGTAAAGAATTTAATTGTAGCATCCAATCTAAATCTCTCCTCTTTTAGTTTAAAACCCTTCCTCCTTGCCCTATCACTATTTCCCTGTGCAAGAAGACATCCTCTTTCTTATTTAAGCCCATTCAGAGGTGCTTACTACACTCCAAGACTGAACTGTGCTTGCATCTCATGGGTGTCACTATTCCAGACAACTCGTACCTTTGTAACTCTCCTTTTCCACAGGTGTCTGAGAACCCTCATTCTCCTCCCTCTCCACACAAACCTCCAGGACAAACGCATTTTAAAAAATTACCAGTTACCTTCTCAGGGGTTCAAAGCCACCATCAGTGCTGCCCAGCGGGCGGTGTTGAAGGCCCAAGATCTTTACCCGTAGATTTATTTACGGCGGGCTGGGGGGCTCTCCAGGGTTAATGCGAGCGTCCCTCTCTCCCTCACATCCTCTCTCCGTTTACCCCGGGCGGAGCACAAGCACGCGGCGCCGGCGGGCCCCGCTCCCGGCCCCGCGGTGGCCAGCGGAGNCCCCCCCCTTTTCTTTTTTAACAAAAAATGCCCCCGTAGTTTATTTGGTAATTTAACGGCACATAATTTAAATCAATATAAAATTCAAATACTTTTGTGCCACCTGTTGGATTTTGCCACTAATTACATGTAGCTGGAAGTGCTACATGAACTGCTGTGTTCAGCCTGGGAAGTGTTGCCCTCAGTGCCACCGGGTGCCCTTACGAAAACACTACCTTTTTTGTTATTTTGAAATATTTTCTCTCTGGGCACGCAGATAGAGCTGTTTTATTCCTCATAAAAACCTAACCTATAAATTACAGACCGCATTCGATGAAGGTGCAGCGTGATGCAGGGCTGGAGTCAGGCTTCCTGTGATAATGCAGTAATAATTATTTGGAATGTTTTTAGTAGAGGAACTCCAGTCTGAGGGCCTGGGAGGCAGAAGTGGCTGGTTCTAGGTACACAAAGTCATAAATGCACCTGACAGTATTCATGGTTAAGGAAAGGGAGGAATACTCCAGGCCTGTGCTTTCCTCATGCCTGTGAATACAAACAAGTACCAGCAGTACTGCTCAGACCATCAATCACAGGCGGTCATACAACACAAAGCATGCCAAGTGTTATACAGCTGAGACTCTCAAAAAAAAATAATTTTGTCTGACCCTTCTTCAATAGCTGTCAAGTCATAATGTCAGGACACATTTTATCATAGAGGAAGATGATGATTTTATTTCACATTGCAGTGGACAGATTTATTTACCATAGAGTAATATTTTTTAGAATGACCAGGGGTAAATGAGCTGTAAGTAATACATTCCTATAAGAATCTGAAAATTAACTGATGATTTTATCCGGATTTCACTGGAAGAGAAGATTAATGACCTGTGGGTTATCAGCTTTCTTACTTGTTATTCCTTATCTGCCTGTAATCACACCACAAACCTACAGTTCTTTGAGATCAAGAGATGCAGAAGCAAGCGGAGAAATGCCCAGAGAAGGAGTGGCCACTTGCTCTTCTTCCCAACTGTAACTGCAAGAAACTGGATGTGGGAGGTCTCCATGATGACCCTTCCTTACAGTGGCAGGGGAAGGGCCCATCGCTGCTTCTCATGAATGGTGAGTTACTGCCATCTCTTCAACAGGTGGGTGGTGGACAAGAAGTACGGTGGAACCAAGAAATATTCTTCCATGGCAACACCAGCAATAAGTAAAGCCCCAAAATTGATTATTTTTCCCCCATTTACATTTTCTTATATAATTTTCCCATTTTTAAGCAGAAAGTACGCAGGAGAAGTAATGCATAAGATTGGGGGTTGACATTGGTTTTGGTTTTGCATACAAGTAGAACTATCTCTTTGGCATGTGTGTTTCCATAGTGTACTCTGCTTTTATGTTAAAATGAAAAAGTTTAGAAAGATGTGAAGTACTGTTTAATGAAAATATAAATGCTTTCTAATTTTTTTTCTGCTGTTTAACCCATTTGAGGAGAAAGTTAATAAAAATTAATAAACTATATCAAGAAATAGTGTGTACAATACGATGCTGACATCTGTCAGTCTGATTCAGAGAAGGCTTTAGTGATATGTTTGTCTAAGTCCTCTATTAGCAAAGAGTGTCTTTAAACAGTTTCAATTGAACCCAATTTTATTGACTTTGGTTTTTGTGATAATCCTGCTTCAAAATCTTCTGTGGTTTTATGAGAACAATTTTCCACTGTTCAAACAGTCATAAATGCCTGCAAAATTTACAATATGACAGAAAAAAACACTAAGTAAAATTACAGTGTTTACACACCACACCAGTACTTTGCTCTTGGCAACTGTGTGACTTCACAAGATGCAAATCAGTGTGCATTACATATTACACATTGTCTTTTTAGACCAATCTGCAGGCAACATGAGCATGTCCTGGGGCCCCAACACCATAGCTGGTTTTTTTATTCAGTTTCTACAGGCTCATAAATAGCATCTCAGGCTTTAGCTCCTAATGTGGTAAAAAAAATATGATGGCTTGCAATAAACTGAAGTCCAGTTATTTAAAAAATGCACAACTGACTTCTTTGCTTTCATTCCCATCAACTTCTCTCTCATGTGGATTATATTAATTATTTCTTGATAATTTATTTCTATATATTCAAACAAGCCAAGAAGCAAGGAAAGCAGTCTTACAGCATTTAAGATCTTTCCTACAAGGGAAAAAAAAAAAAGGTTTAGAAGTAGTTGCAAGTTCCATTTAGCTAGTACTTTTAAAACCAATTGTAAATAAGTAGATGAAATATCTTGTGCAATGGAATTTAAGATTTAAGGATCCTTTCTTAGAGTGAAGGAGTCAGTAAAAGTTTAGTCATTGTAAGGCAAAATCGAAGGAGAAGTACATCAGTTAAGGAGAAAACAGTGATTTTTCTAATCCTTCTTCTTAACAAAACTGTGTAGATTTCTTTGATGCAGACAAGATTAGGAGATAAACATTTGGCTTGGTATTGATACCTTTTGATCCTTTCTAAATTGGGGGAATTGATCCTTTCTAAATTGAGGGAGAAACTATGAAACAACTAAAAGTGGCACCCTACAATAATGTCAGAGACCAGCAGAAGTCATAACACATATGATGCCTCAGCTGCATAAAGTCACAAGGAATGCAAATGCAGACATTCAGTGGGAGGGAGGGAGGCCAGGAGGGAGGCAGGGAGGGAGGGAGGGAGGGAGACCTTCACTCACTGTCTGATCCCTTTGCAATTTCAACTGCAGAGTGCGGTAGCCCTTTCTAGTGAGAGATGTGCCTGGAGACGAGCCCAGAGAATGAAATCCTGCACCAGAAGAGGAGAAAGGGGGAAAAGAATAAGGAAAGTTAATGATTCTCTCTCAACCAGAAGAACCACATGGACTAATCTAGGAAGCCATCTTAGTTAGGAAATGTTGCCCCTAGCCTCTTCTTCCTGTAAAAGAGCTTAACACTACCTAGGTTGTGACTTTCATCAAAATACATCCTTTCCAATTCTTCCATGATTTTTATTGCTATGCTATGATTTCTCAGCTCATAACATAATTTTAGTTTTAATGCCTTTATTTTACAGCCCACTTAGAAGGGAGTTGAGTTCCTTTTTTCTGTTCCTCTATATTGCAAAAGCCCTATGTTTTTCTCTCTTCATTTTTTTCTCTTCTTCCTTATCATATATTCCTTTGGTTACCTCAGGAACACCAATTTTAACTGATTTGTGTGATATATTGCTCAATCTATGCCCTTCCTTGCTTCTAAAGTAGACATAAAAATAGACTAATTATGGAGGCAGAAGAGTTGAAAACACAGAAGACTAATATTTATTTCTTGGATTAAATAAATATAAATAAATAAATAAAAATAATTACTTAATTAATTAATAAATAAAGCAAGAGTTGCAACTACAATTCAGGCTTAGTTTTGCCTCAAAAAAATGGTTCTGCAATGGCTTCAAAAAGACTGTAAAATATTTTCTGTAGATGTGGAAATATACTAGTGTGGGCAGAGTTTGGAGAAATATGCACAGACCTTGTAGAAATGTATGGGATATCGTTTTCCTGGTTTGTAAGGGATACATTTTAGGTGATGGTCTCTGTGTTTCAATAACGGTGGGAGGAAACCCGACATTAGAAAGTGCATCCATCTTCCTGGACAAAAGAAAAGATCAACTTCCCAGAAACTTTTGTCATGGAGTCAATTCTTACACAATGACACGTAGTGCTAAATAAATCATTTTTTGAATTACAAATTGAGGATCCATCGCCCTGGATAAATGTTATTCATCGGGGGGAGGGCAGGAAAGAATGACTTAAGAATAATTGTCTACAAGTATTCAGAAGAGAGTCCAATTTGTCACTCCCACTTTGAAGTGCCAGTGCAAAGCAGCTTTTAAAATCTATCCTTTGGCTTTCAAGTAATATGTGTATGGTTAAAAGCCAGTTAGAGAATGGTGGTGTGATTTCGTGATGCAAGGCAAATGGCACGATTTAAAGTTTTGTTGAAATCTGCTGTCTTTACAGGCTCAGATAAGGCCTTTATTTGTTTTAGTCATGCTTGGCTGTCCTATTCAGCGTAGTTACCAGACTGATATTAACAAGATTCAATGTGTGAAAGTAATGCCATCACTTTGAATTTTGCAACACGGTCTCTTCAAGGTAAGGTCCTATTCAGCTGTGTAAAAAATGCGATGACCAACTATACATTCAAGCAAAAGAAGCTGTTCTCTCTTGCCAAAAAAGTGACCGTATCATTCGTCACTGCCCTAAGTACCTGTAAGCTGCAGTTCACACTAACAGAATTAATCTACAAGTGTCAGCAGGAGACACTCAATTTACCTGACAAACCATAAAACAATATGTTGCAAAGAAACTTTGGACTCTGCCAATGTGCCAGTCAATAGGTATGTACGATGAATCATCAAACAAATATTTCAGTGCATGGGGAAAAAATAAATCTAGGTTCAGCCCACATGCCAATCAATCAGAGATTGCCTGAAGAATCATGGAACACATTTGGAGACAAGTAAAAAATTTCTAGGCTCTGCCAGGATGCTGGGCCAATCAATCACAGTGTGGCTGATGAATCATGAAACACACTCTGCAGCATGTCAGCACACATACGTGGTTGGCACAGTTCTCATCATCCCGAGTTTGTCTTGCAGTTAAATTGACTGAAGGTGAGTTATAGGACTGTTTTTTTCTCCCACCTACTGACCTCTGCAACCAGCCACTCTTAAATCCACTTGCCCTGTGCTTCGTTAAAAGTGCAGATTCAAAACAAAGGTTCAACACAAGAGCAAACATGGTTTCGATGTCAGACGAGTTGTTAACATGCTGCTGAAAGCTGTTGAACACGTATTTTGACAACAGAACAGACACCTACAAGAGTGTTATTCTCTTCAAAGTTTTCTGTGCTGTTTACATGGAAATTTAATATGATGTAATAAATATGTAATACATTGCACAATATT